GTTAACAGAATATAAGGCTTAAGAACCTAGGACTATCATCAGAGTATAGAGCTTGAGGACGTAGAGCTATTATGAGAATATAGGGCTTGAAGAGCTAGGACTATCATCAGAATATAGGTCTTGAAGGCCTAGAGCTATCATCAAAATATAGGACTTAAGGACTCAAGGGTATTGTCATAAAGTAAGTCTTGAGGACCTAAGCATGTTTCCATTATATAAGACTTGCGGATCGTGGGATCCGGGATACGTATAATCCATCAGGGATACAGGGGATACAGAGGATCCCTGCGATCCACAATCCGCTTTTTCCCCCTTGGAAAAAACTCACTAAATCGCATGCAAATCCAATATCGTTTGTTGAGTTAAAAATGAAAGTAAATTAAAAGTGAGCTCTCTCGGTTACATCTTTATCTCGTTCTTTCCGAGGAATAGCTTTGCATGAGAGGTCAGTCAAAACACGTACGAGCAACAACTAATTCCACTTCTTTGACATGAGCATTGTTGGCAATCGTTTGTTTTCCACGAATCATTAAAACTTCGTAGTTTACCATCTATTACTCCACAATTACCTTTAATGATAAGTTTTCTTTCCATAATTCATTTATTTTTCTTCAACAGTTAAATAACTTACGGGCCTTTGGGCTTTGTAATGCTTTTGAGGAACAATGGGCCTGTATCGTATTAAGCGTTGACGTGAAAATGATAAATATAACAAAAAATACTTGTTTCGTTTTCATAGTATAAAATGAACTTTTTCAACTGACTCGCAATGTTAGATTACGTGTCGTTTATATTTATTTTCAATCGGTGTGATTTTACAAAAGAAAAGGTAGATAGTATCTATTTCAATAGCACAATGTAGTGGATGGTAGAATTCGTTTTCTGAAGTATACGCTTAGATGATTTGAAAGATGATCTTCAACTTTCAGATAAGAATAAATCTATAATTGGAAAAGCATGGAAACAAGATGAATTAGATAAATGTGTAAGTTACTATTTTTGAGTCTCTTGTCGTTAAATTCTATTTTACATTTCTTAATCTGTTTATCTGGATGTCGGAGAAGATGTGAAACAAAACAAAACAAAAGTGAGTAGAATCGTATCCTCACATTTACTTAGACCATCATTTTTCCTACAACATATGCATATATGCTGTTGTGGTTCCAATAGTCTGGTGAGAACAATAATCTAAATATTTCTTATAGAATTCACATGATCCTTCTATTTTTAAAATAGTCTGATAGTATATTTTCAGATAAACGTCGATGTTTTTAAATATTAGAATAGAAATCATTTTCTTAACTGTCTAATGGAAACTGTAAGTAGAATTAGTGAAAAACACATCGAAAAATGGTTACATTATAGCGACGTTTCAATAATTATGTGGGAATAGTACAGTATTGTAACACTACGGTTGTTGGCTAACTCATTTAATTAACAAGCAGCTGTGCCAAAAACAACGTTTTTTTCTTGAATGCTATTGTTTTGCAACCTTGATGTCAATATTACTATGCAAATCTTCTTCATCATATTGTTAGAAAAACTGGCCCGTTAGAGTTTAAATAACATCATTAATTTCGTCGATCTTGTCTTCTGTAAATTTTGAATGTTTACCATAATGCCGGGTGGGAATGCTAGTTTTGATAAATTTTCCCTTCACCAATCACCACATCCACATCCATCGCCTTTCTCACTAAAATCATTTTACAAAACATAGCATATGAGTGTGATTAGATAAATCGAATCAATTTAAGAAAAATGTCTTTATTATATTTGAATTCAATTAAATGAAACTCAACACGAAAAGGAAATAAATGAAAATAATTTTTATGGGAATTGATATCCGAAGAGAAGAATTCGATACAGATGGTTTCGGTAATGATATAGAATAGTTAGACATAATTGGCTTATAAATATTGAATGTTAAATCTGCTAAAATCTCAATCCATGTTGGATAAAGATCAAGATTTGTTCGTCCGATAAATACAATAGATCTATTATTTGAATTAGGTAGATAATCAATAATATGATCGTGATCAACTAGAGTTGTTTGTTTATAATGCGATTCATATTTGACTTGATTGATATCAATAGAACGTGATAAATGATCTCTTAACCAAGATAGTGCATTGGTAACATTTGGATTAAGTAGAATTACTCTTTTTTCAGGTATGTTAGTAAAGGAAATTGTTCTGTTTTAATACTTAATTTAAATGGTTCAAGTGACTCTTTAATTTGATCATTTAAATAGCAATTATCAAGGAATAATATTTTATTATTAACTTTAATCGTTCGACGATTCGTTATTATTTGATTTTGAGAAACATGCATGAAACGCTCATTTTCACGTATTGTTACATTAACATATTTGCTCTCTTGAAGAATATTTAATTTTTCAATCGCCATCTTTGTCGTATTAAGAAATTCTAATTTTCCATTGAGTTGACCTCGATAGTTATTTGGTAGATTTTCAAAATAAAATTGATTCATTAAATGTGTTGCTGGTTGACGATTGCTCAATTCAATAGCTGTCTGTAAAACTAATAAATCTCCGCCGACAATAACAATATCGAAATTTTCTTGTTGTAATTGAATCAGAATACGTAACGCTGAAAGAACTGCACCCTCAAACCATGCATGTGCTGTTGATAAATGTTCGCCACCATCGGTTCCTAGTGTTTACCTGAGAAGTGTGTATGTTAGATTGACGGTAGGCAATCCCTAGCGGAGGAATTGAGTGATTTTGTAGGTATTTTGTGTAATATGTTATAGAGAAGGTATTGTATGTTGTGCTATTTGTTAGGGAGATGTCTGGGTATGGGCAGGGATCCATTTAGCGTCTGCGGGAGAATTCCCATTCCTCAGTCCTTGAACACCCCTCATATTTTTTAACAGTTTAAACTAAATTTCTAGCTTTTTATAGATTTTTTTAGATTTTCCTCCCATTTTTAAAAATATTATTCTTATTACTTCGCGCCGTCCCTGATTTCATTTCGACATCTGGCTCTTCTCAATAAATATATGACAATAATACTAAAAAAAAGATGAGCTGCACTGTATACCATTATATTGCTTTTGGTTTTATCAAATCACATCCTATATTATTTTCTACTGTTATTTATTTCCATTCATTGGTTACTTTTGAATTTAGCTGAAATTTTGATCTCGCAAAAGTAATAAATAGATTTAATTTCTTTCTGATTGAATACTATTATAATTTTATTTTGATAAAATAGAGTGACCGTTACAGTATTTAATTCTATTCATAGAAATTAATTAATCTCATACGTGTAGACTGGCAGCTACTTAAAAATGCAAAAATGTGATAGATCTTATTAAAAACAAAAATAATTCTGTTATTTTCCAATTATAACGCTCATCCTATTTTCAAAAGGTAGCTATATTGTTTCTATATAATGTAATTTTAGATACACAATCCTGAACGAATCACGATCTATGAGTTTGATATAATCCGCATAAAACCAAGACGACGGATAATCTGTTTTGAGATTTAACTACCTATTAGAAACGCATTTATAACAAATGCACATGTTAGCAACTCGGATTAGGGCAGCGAAAATAAATTAATGTCAGCAAGATTGAATAGAGGATAGAATTACGGTACCAAAACAAAACAAAAAAACAAGAAGAAGCGCATAATCGATCTCATGTTTCACCAGTAGACGAAGGTTGTAATAAGATAAATGTAATGCCTCGCTTAGGAAATGTTTACTGTTAAACGAATGACATTCGTCGATTCCTATAAACAGATACATGTGGATATTTAGTTTATTGCAATCCATATGGAAGCGACGAACAATCGGATGGCATTTTTTACGTGTAATAAGCTTTATTAAAAATAACTCATTAAAGATTAAAGAAACATAATGAATATGCAACAATATAGAAGAAATGGCATAGGAAATGATCATATCCTTCTGTTTTCTATCGTCGTTTCTTTTAAATTTTTCAAGCATTTTTATTATAGATAATAGAATAGATGAACTGAAAAAAATAGAAAACGACATTGAATAAAATCAAAGTCCATAATGAATAGGAAAAAATATTTAAGTTCAGCGTCACTTTGATGTAAGTTTTTTTCTTTCTTCTTCTCTATACGGCCTATCTATTTACTTAGATGGGTATAGAAGAAAAACTATGTGTCAATACTATCTTTCTATGGCATATGTCTGTTAGACAGAATTTGAAGCAATAAATAGTTAGTAGTATATTTTTGAACATTGTTTGCTTTTCCTTTAATAAATTTGTGTTTTTTACAATTAACTACTTGATAAACTCATATGAACCTAAGTATATAATTTATCCACTCACTGAATCAATTTATCGCATCTTAAAAATGCAAAAGTGAATCAATTAAATCTCATGAGCACACATACATCCTCCGTAATTATACTAGTGTCAAAATATTAATTTATCCCACTCCACCAATAACAATAAATTGTATTTGACTTTTCCCTAGATAAATTTCGGCTGAATTGAATTTGTTGCATGCATAAATTTTATGCAAGTCTACATACAACACAATAAATCAGTGTCAATTCGACCTGAACTTTATAGATTCCAATTTTTTTCTGTTTGCTTTATGTTAAATTGCTACTAACATATCATTCGAACGGTAAAACAACGATTCCATAGTTTTTTGTTTCTAATAAATTTAACGTAGTTGGAAGAAACATTTGCAAGTTTACATCATGATAAGCGAATAAATATTGAATCACGATGTTCACACGTGAGATTGAAGACCTTAGATTTTGCTCTTGATTTGCATCGTTATATTATTCATAGAAATCTTCTTGATCAACGATGATGGATGAATGACTAATGGGATATATACATGCTGTATTGCCAGTTTGACTATGCAGATGAGACTGAAAACGAACTAGCAAAAGTCATTTATTAATTCGAGGAAAAATATAAAAAAATTTTGTCGGTTATTTTTTTCTCTGCTAGATCTTTTTTATTTCTTTTTATGTCTGCTATATTGATCTCCTTATCTAAAAAAAATAGAAAACAAAAGTTTTTCTTTTTATTCAAATATATTCTTTCATTCTGACAGATGGACGGTGTAAAATGACTACGTTGATGTCAGGATGAAATAACACAATATTATTGCCATTTTACATCTTCGATCAACTAGAACAACACTAGATCAATTTCAGCAGCCGACCATGAGTCATAGTACAGTTAAAAAGAAAATCGGCAAAATTGTCTCAAAATTAGCTAATAAACCAAAAGATATTAAACTAACTGTAAGTGATATCACTGATTATCATTGTCATGAAGATACATCAACAGATGATAACAGTGAGTTACAGCAAGAAAAAAATATACAACGAATGAAACATCACATGGGAGATACATCAAAACCTCAACATGATCAACATCCAACAAGTCAAATACTATCCAATTCTCTACTGGATTCATCATTGAAAAGTGAGTAGTTTATTATTCTGAGGGTGTTATATAGCTTTTTATTGTATATACCTGATTTATTGAATAAGAAGCGTGGAATAGCTTTTTTTATTCGTTTCGTCCATTCGTGTACTTCGATTCATATATATCGTTTTATGGTTATTATGTTTCAATTTGAGAACATGTATGTCTTTTTTATGTACACAGTTCTTTCTTTTGCATGCATATATGTTTACTTCGTCACATACTCACTATGGTAATGTCTCCCACTTGTCGATCGAATGCATGCATAATAACAACAAAATATGCGTAATAAGCATGAATTCCATAGATAGCTCACAAGAAGAAGAATAAAAAAAGGAACTAAATACTAGCATATATACTGAATAATAAAAAAAAAAAAGGTCGCAGATTGATAAAATTATTGTCTTTATTCATACATATAAAATGGCAAATAACCAACGTTTTCGGGTTTCTCTGACTATTAAACAAAAATTAGATGAACGATTTCAACGTTTACAACAAATTGATCGTGCTCATTGTAAGTGGCAGAATCGATGGATCGATTCTTGTTGAGTTCATGTCGAAAAAGAAAAATTCAATAAGTAGGAAGCTAGACGCTTCGTGTGTGTTAAGCATCACCGATGAATATTCTATTATTTATTGTTGTTTTTTTATTATTATTTTGAGTGACACATGTCAGTGCAAAGTCGAGTGATAGTACGTTATGCTCTGTAATTTTGAACTTAAAATTATGTATAAGAAAGAAAAATTGACATACGCCAATACGCTCAGGTCAGGGAGACATTCAGATTTTCTTTTTTCTCTGTTTGTTTATACTAGTAGGCCTAGGGAGTCGTACAGAGAAGAAAAAAAGGATGAAGCAAAAAAGAAGCCATCGAATTAATTCTGACGAACTCAATGTAATTAAAAGTCGGCATTGAAGAAAAAAGAAGTATCATATTTTATTTTATTTTATTCCATTTTTCATCTAATCCTGTAAAGTACACAACAATAGCGTTGTTACATTAGATTTAAATAGAAACAAGTGAAGGTAGTTATTGTTTTTATTTTATCTTGATTAGACGGTTTTATTCTTTTTGTAATATTTTATTCTTGGAATACAGAAAATACTTGCCTGTATTTAGTGAGTGCACTTCGATGTCTAACTTTTTTTTCTTCTGTTTTTTTTCCGCCATAAATCGTTTAGCTTCTACAGACGAAAGGTCTTTTCCAGACGAACTAGCATTTTTCTCCGTTCTTATGTTGGCTGTTCAATTAAATTGGAGTTAAAAAGCATATGCGTGTATAAGTCTTTCTATAGGATTGAGTGATGTTTAGTAGTACTACTTTGTCGTGAAATAAGAGAGAATGGAGAAATGATGATGTGGGAAACACGACCTATGTCTCATGCTGTTACTAGTGCTCTCGCTGATCACATTAGAAACAGTGTAGCGAAGTCTTTGACGAGGAATTCTTGCATATTGCCGCTTTGTGCGATGCATGATGAAAGAGTTCGTTAGGCTACGCTTTCGTTTTCTTTCTTTTTTTTATTATTATCTCGATTTTAACCGTTTATTGTTCCATTATGAGAAGAAATTATGAAATAGAAAAATCTTCCGAGTTATCATTTATCGGGGTAGATTAATTTCTTTTTCTTTATATTTTATCATGTAAGTTTGCTAAATTAATTATTAAAACGAGAATATTTGATTTCACAGTTCAACAATCAGTCGAACTTGATAAGGCAGAAATAATGAAAATACATCCATCATTTGCACATTTTTTTTTCTAATATTATTTTTATTTCCTTGTCACATTTGCATTTCTATGTATCTATACGATGATGTTCATTTCTGATCTTGTCAAACAGTAAAATTTATAGATTCAAAGGAACTCTCATAAACATAGATGCGTGCGAAGCAAAACAAAAAATGATTTATGATACATATTATGTTATGTGGTAGAAAAAAAATTTGTTTTAGATTCTTTTTCTTCATTATTTTTACGCGTTAGAATAAATAAAAAATAGATGAATTCGAGCTTCTTTTTTTTCTGTCAGTCGATAAATTGATGAGATTTTGTCTATGGAGAAAATAATCGATCAGAAAATCTTTAGCTTCAAGCCGGATGTGACTTAGATTGTCAAAGAAAACTAGATGCGAGATACCTTGTCAATTTTCTTCCTTTCTCTACTGACAGAATCCGTCAAGAAAAGCAAACTCATGGCTCGTGATTAAAAACGAGAAGAAAGAAAGACAACACAATGTTGGATCAAAATTCATTTTGTGTTTATAATAAAATGAATTTTCTTCTTCATTAAACTCTAACGTATCCCTGGATATTTGATTTAATAAAAAGTTATATTTATTTATTTTCTTTTTTGTAAGTACGGTCAAACATATAGTTCGTTAACTGAAAGGGCAAACGCTTTCATCTTTCTGCTATACTCCTCAATTAACTAGTAATATTTGTAGAAGTTTGTTTTTAAAAAGAATAGAAAAGAAGATAAGATACTTTGCACTTCCTATACTATTATTCTATATGTCTCTTTATCTCTATATCGAAAACTAATTATATATATATATATATATATATATATTATTTTAGTTTTTCATACGTATGCTCCAATGGGTAGTGGTCCGTCTTCATCGTCCAATCATCCGACATTAACATCATCGTCATCATCAACGCCAAATACAACAATTCCTCATGATTTGTATAAACAAGCTCGTGAAGAATTCGACACTCGCTATGGAACACCAACTACATTCTCATTAAATTATCGTGATTTTCAAATCATTCGGCCACTTGGCCGTGGCGCATTTGGTTCTGTTAAAGAAGTAAAATACGCACGTGAACCTGTACCTGACTATTTGCAATCCCATGACAATCCATCGAAATCTTATCATGTTGCCCTCAAAATAATTAATAAAAAAAGTGCACATAAAATGAAGCAAGAAGAACATGTTGTTAATGAAAAACGCATCTTACAATCGCTTCATTTTCCATATATAATACGTTTTTATTTCTCATTTAAAGACAATGCTAATCTTTATATTGGGCTAGAATTAATTGAAGGTGGAGAATTATTTCGTCATTTACGTGATTGCGAAAAATTTGATGAGAAGAAAGCTAAATTTTACTCATCACAAATTATTCTTGCACTTGAATATCTTCATTTGTTAGGCATTGTTTATCGTGATCTTAAAGTACGTGAATAATTGATTTATTTTTAATGCAAATATTTCTAATTTTATAGCCAGAAAATTTACTGATCGATCGACATGGTTATATCAAAATGTGTGATTTTGGTAAATGATTTAATTTAATTTATTAGAAATCTATAAAAAGAAAGCTTTTTATTTAATTATTTTAGGATTTGCAAAAAAAATTGATCGTGGCAAAGCATATACACTTTGTGGTACACCTGAATTTCTTGCACCAGAAATTATTCTTGGCCGTGGTTATAATATGGGAGGTATGAAAAAGCTTTTTGCTGATTTGAAGCTGTTGTCATAACTAATTAACTATATATTTGTTTTTAGTTGATTATTGGGCACTCGGCGTTTTAATATTTGAAATGAATGCTGGCTATTCTCCATTTTGGGTAAAACAAAAATATTTTTTTTTGTTGATTTAAATAAAAATTAAATTTCTATTTAGGATGCTGACCAACAAAAAATTTACCATAAAATTATCAATGGAAAATTTCGCCCTCGCTCAGCATTTTCAGAAAATCTAATTGATATTGTTCGTGGCCTATTACAAAAAGATTTAACTAAAAGACTTGGCATGATGTTTAATGGTATTAATGATATAAAAAAACATGCTTGGTTTCGTGACCTTGATTGGATGCAAGTATTCTTGAAAAAGATTCGTGCACCATGGGTACCTGATATACGTGCAAATAACTTTCCCGATGCTGAAGATGAAGAACCAACTCGTTCGTCAGTTAATTTATATGAAAAAGAGTTTCATGATTTTTAATTTCCATAAATTTATTTATTTATTAGTTTTTCCTCTGTCAGTGTATTTCGTGTGTAAGTGTCTGTCACATTTACAATGTCTTTTTTATTATTTTGTCTCTTAAATATCTACGAAATAAGTTCTTATTATTCATAAAAATAATATCCGGTGATGAAAACTGGTCGAACAAAATAGATTGATTTAAAATGATTGCTGTATGAACTTAAATCTCTAGTAGAATAATTCTTTTATCTAGTATTACAGAATTAATTTTAGCTCGTTTTTTTAATTCATGAATTGAATTAAGAATAAAAATAGAAGAATACTTTTAGATGTCATTCAATTATTTAATGCGATGAAATTACATTTATACTGATTAGAACTCGCATGATAAGCTGAAGGAAAATAAATCTATTGAATATACACATGTTTTAATTATAATTTTTTGATACGATTTTGGCTTTTCTCTTTCTGTCTGAAAAGATTATATGATTTGACTTTGGCCATGATAATAGTCGATAATTAATATGGTTAACTTGAGATTTAATTTGCTTTGCTTTTTCTTCATTTTCAAAAGAAAAACATTTATGAATGCAATGATTTAGTCATTATAATTATTCTTTGTCAGACGTGCTTTATGCTTACTTTGATGAATTATAGTTAGTGGGGACGAGTACACAAGTTCATTAAAAATGGTTTCAAGATAAATCAATTTATAAAAAACATAGATAAAGATGAAAGGAATGAAAGAATTAAAAATGAATCCTTGAAGATACCCTATTGTTAATTTCTCTACGGATTAATAATAGAATCGGAAGTTCATCGTAAAAATTTGTTTATAATAATTAATATAAAAAAATCTTCGTGAATTTATCAAATTCATTTGTAAAAGAAGCGAATAGAAAATGTTGCCAATATTAATTTTTACACAGAATTCCATTGGCATTTTGTCTTAACGACTAATCGAATTGGTTTTGTATTCTCTCACAATCTGTGGCGCATTACAAAAATCAAGAATAACATTTTAGTAGTACTTGTGTACTCGGATAATATAGTTTTCTATGATAAATTGTTGTTCGCTACTCGATTTACGATTCTCGTATATTTCTCTAATGGAAAAAGGTTACATATCGTATATTTAAAAATTCATTTGATTAAAAATACAAGAATTTTCTGATGTCGAAAAAACACGAATCAACTTTTTATAATTTATTTAATTTAATTTTGCATTGTAATCAGAACGATCGTTGCAAATCTAAAGCTAAACTGTAAAGAAATTGCCTGTACTACTTAAATTTTGAATTTTTTCATGAATCATTGCCGTACAAAGATCACTGGCTATTCTTTGTTTCTCTGTTTACCATTGATAAGATTGTGTCCTACTACAAATAGTACTGGCTCATTTTCTGTAATAAAGCTCTCTGCTTTTTTCTTATTATCTTGGTTTGAAAGTCCAAAGAAAACAAAACAAAACAATGACTTTCCAAAGTGAGAATAATTTTTACTTGATGTTCTGTTATTCTTCAATTCATTTTCTAGTAAAAGACATTTTTCATTCATTATTATTTGATGTATTTCTCACTTATTCAACGGTGAAATTAGTCAAAGTACCTCATACATATATTGCAGTACTTAATCGTGCTCTTCAAGCAGTTATTTTTGCATATATTATTGGGTATAGTTGTTAAAGAAAAACAGGAAGTCTTGTGTAAAAAAACCAAATTCATTTTAGTTATATTGTCCTATTGAAACAAGGCTATCAACAATTTCAAGAACCTCGTGGAACAAGTGTTATTAAAGTTAAAGGCATTGCAAAAGTTACCGGAAATAATGCATCTTTCTATACAAGTAAAATTATTTTCTTTACTTTTCAATAATAAAAACAAAATTTATATATTCAATGGAATTTTTATAGATGATCAGACAAAATATATTTGGGATACACCTGAATATGAAAATCCAGCGATTGTATGTCAATAGAATCTTATGTATTCTATTTTTCAAAAGATTTTCTTTTAGGAAAATAATGCATTTTTTATTGCTACACATCAAACCGTTACTCCTGGCCAAACACAACAAACTTGCCCAACTGTAAGAATACTAGCTTTGAGATTTTCCTTTCAATATTGTCAAAAACAAAATAGGCTTTGGCCGACAAATTATTTTGTAATGATACAGCTACAGACAAGTGCAAAACAGATCAACCAACACCAAACACGTTTGGTAAGGATTTTTATCATATTTGCAAAAACATTTTAATTGCTTATGTTATTTTAGGTTATTTTACGGGAAAGTGTGTAGTAAGTCGAGAAAATTCAACACTGAAAGTTTGTGAAATGAATGGATGGTGTCCAGAAGAACTTTCTGCATCGATGTACGAATTTATTTATTGTGCTTTGTAAATAATGGTTTTATTTGTCTACTCTAAGGGATTATATCATGGATGGAGATGATTTAGAAAATTTTACAATATTTTTGAAAACCATGGTAACATTTACATTATTCAAAAAGAATCTGTAGGTTTTTTTTTTAAATAGATATGATTTAAAAGAATTTCGTTTTGTCATTTAGACGAAATATTCAAGATAATACAGATTTTTCATGTCGATTCGATGGTACTCCACGTACGGCGGATTGCCCTATCATTCGTGTTGGTTACATTCTTGATCAATTGAACACTAATAAAACAGCTCTTCTACTTGCAGTAAATATGAAATCTTCTTATGTCTCTTTATGGCCTAATATCATAAAAGCAAACTTCTTTTTTTTAGGGTGGTTTGATAGAGATTCGTCAAGATTGGACATGTAATTTTGATCGTCATCCAAAACGATGTATTCCAAAGTATGAATTTTCTCTGTTACAAAGTGGTGATGATAAACAATCGCCAGGCATTAATTATCGGTATTATAACGAAATAAAAAGAAATGTAGTTGACTTTAATTTTTTGTATAGAACTGCTCAAAAATATCGTGTTAACGATACCGATTACCGAACATTATCTAAGGTTTATGGTTTACGTTTCGTTGTTGCCATAACAGGCAAAGGAGGACAATTTAATATCGTTAATTTATTTATTGCTATTGGTAAGGATTACTGATTTTTACTTCTAGCGGAATTTTTGTAATGAAATTTTTCTTTAATTTTAAGGTTCGGGTATTGGTTTTATGGTCATAGCTGGTATTGTATGCGATGCAATTCTTATGTATATTCATAAATCTCGAGAAAAATATAAACAAGGCAAATTCGATGTATGCGAAGTTGACGATGAAGACCCTACCGCAACGCAAAACGTAACAGAAGCATAGGTCTGTAAAGTTGATCGCCTCATAATCGATTAATATTTTCATTTTGTTTTCTTGTAGATATATAAAAATGTTTTTCAAATATTCAGCAACAGATGTTTTTGTTTTTTGTTTATTATTAATTAATTTGTTATAATAAAAATTTGCTTTATTAACGTGTGGTAAAAGTTTTCATTTCTCTATATGAGGTCGGGCATAGGTGTATGAAGAAAAAAAAAATATATACATCATTCATATCCAGGTAAACATTTATTATGAAAGAATCTCACTAAGCAACTAGATTTATCGTATAGGAAAATTCAATTTTACAATTTATTCATTTTCGGGTTGATTTTATATAAAAAGATGCAAAAACTCAAATATGATAATGCAGCTATGGCGTTGAGTCATGTTAAGCTGTTGTATGCAATTAAAAACGATTTTGAATTCTAGTAGATTGTAAACCTTTATACTTTTAATCAGCAGACGAATCATCCACTATTGTGCAGTCAACTTGAGTTTGATGCATCACTTGCCAGAAATCGTATATTGCTTTTAAACATTCGGTATCTGCAAACCTGTTAAATTAAATATGAAATAAACTTTAACATGTAAAATCTAACTAATTATACTATTCTCTATGCTTTTAAATATTAAGATATTAAAATGATTTTTAAACATAAATAGCAAGTGTTACATTTTTACTTACTCAACTCTAGCTGAGTATATCGACTCATCTGTTGTGTTAGATGAAAAATTCTGTATTTTCTTAGCACCGAGTTGTATCAAAGCATTATTGAGTTGTACAAGCATACCTATACTAGAATATCTAAGGAGTTAATCTTAAGCTGGTGAATGATACCTTCCGATTTTAATGTGAATAATAATTTATTTTGTGATTTTGGCGATTCTGGTATTTCAACCATTTCTGCATCGTCAAACAAAGATTCCTTCTAAAATAATAAGGAAACAAAACTCAGGTAAAACTACCGCAGTACAAATTCGACTTTCCAAATTCCTTACATTCGTATTGAATGATGATGCAGTATGAGGATCAATTTCTGTTGTAGTCTGTAAAGGAAAGTAGGTATTGTCATCGTCAAATTCCAGAAAGTCAAGTAGTTGACCGAGAAAATTTTCAGCGTGCTGATAAAAAATATTGAATTTCTCGTATGGTACGTGGAGTAGAGTGGACAATTTCGATGACATAGTCGTCCAAAATGATTTATTATCGGATACGATTCGAAACCAGGCTATCATAAAATCTCGGTCAAGACCTTTAGCAATACCAAAAATAAGTTCATTGATGCCAGATGGTGGCTTGGTAACACCAAAGTCTTCATCTACATGCTCTATACTATTGACCATTGTAACAAGAGCAACTCGATCATAGTAGATGATGCCCTCTTCTTTGGTTGGCTTGATTTGTGGATGAACAGTATTTAATAATTTACAAAATTCATCTAAGATACTCTGCCGATTACGTCCGGCCCACATATTCGTGCAAACAAGTGCACAGAAAATATGTTTACTGTAACATTCCGCAACCATCCAAACGATATGATCTAATACGGCAAATGAACCAGGCGATGCACAATAAATCATACATATTGGATGAGTTTTTTCGATTAATGATGCCATGTAAGAACGAATCTCATTTTCATTCCAAGATTCGATGCCTGGTGTATCCCAGAAATTCGTCTCGTAAGTCACATCACCAACTACAGTTCGAGATGAATATTTGTCGATAGATTTTGTGTCAGAATTTAAGCCTGTATTTGATCTCGAAAGTTCTTTTTGACAGATAGCATTGATAAGAGAGGTCTTGCCGACGCGAGACGACCCACAAATAAGGACGTTAGATTCTTTAAAAGTCTCTGACATAGAGTTTATTCTCTAGAAATTAATCATAAGAAAAAAAACAATCAAGGAAAATTTATTATTTATTAAGGTGACCCAATACGACTCATAATTTTCGATTTTCTTTATCGTTTCTAATACTCCTCAATAGATTTTTCAGGGCAAGTCCCTTTAGAACGATGTCTATAATTGATTATTCATGGTCGAAAAGTCAAGCTAAAAAACTCTAAACTTTCCGGGGGAAAACAGTTACATTCCCGTCTTGAGTTTCCTAGTGAATTTATATTAAGAAGAACGACTAAAATGAGCTAGTGAAAGCTACTATGAATCTTATGAGTAATCAATATGATAAATCCGTTTTTTTTTTGATTTTTAATTTTATCGCATACATGAGTTACAGAGAATTGTTTAAAACGGATGCGACATATGCGTAAATGAGATGTTAAAAAAGTACAGTGTACCCCAATACGTTGTGAAAAATGGCAATGATTCTCCGTTGCCATATTATTTCTTAAGAATTGTGTTTATAATCAACGGAAGTATAAATTTTGCAGCATCTTTGCCTTCTTTCTGAACAAATTCTTCCACAACAGGACGGCATAAATTGAACAGTGTTATAATACCGTCACGCATAGTCAACCAGAACGATTGATTATCAGCAATAGTATGACACCACGCAATAAGTTTATCATGTTTCAATGATCTGATAATTCCAAAAATAAGTTCATTGATACCTTCGACACCTTTTCGTACTTCGAATTCTCGATCTTCGTAAAATATACTATTTACTGATGTACACAGACCAATATCGCCATAATATTTTACATTAGCTTCTTCGCGTGTCATAGCATGACATTGAGAAAGGATTGTATGAAAATCATTCAAGACTGAAGCACGTTGTTGACTACCTCCACTGTATTTGTTTGTGCATACAAGAGCACAGAAGATATTTGATTTAATACAAGTTTCAATAAGCCATTTTAAATGATCGAGTCGAGCAAATGAGCCAGGCGATGCACAATAAATCATACACAGTGGAGTACTTTCAAGCATGATTTTTGTGAAATGCTTTTCAACTTCTTCTTTAGTCCATGACTCGATTCCCGGCGTGTCCCATATCGTAATCGAATATTCAGTTGAACTTGCAGTGTTATTCGCCGACGGACATGCTCCATTCAATACATACTTCTTCATTTCATCCGTTACTGAACATAAACTGCTGCTCGTTCGCGCTACTTCTCTTCCACATATAGCATTAACAAGCGTACTTTTTCCAACACGCGCCGAGCCACAAACTGCGATATTAAACTGCTTGGCCATATCTAGAAATACGATTCACTATCTAGAAAAAGCAAAAAGATCTGTCTTGTAAAATAATGAATAAAAAAAAACGTCATAGTGCGTAATTTCAATTAAGGTTTTCGGATCATAGTATAAATATACATAAAAGCATTTCTCGTAATTTGTTGAATGGATACGCCGCTCATGTTTTGTATATTTTTTATGCGAAGCGATACAAAACCACTAGCTTTCTGACTAAATTTTTCCCAATAAGTACGTCGATTTAAAACAGCACTACACCAGCCAAGTAGTTTTTCATCACTGAGTGCTTCCATCACACAATGTATAAGCTCATCGACACCTTGTACAGGCTTTCTCTCAGGTGAATAGTCAGGGTCGTAATATTCGATCGAATTCACCATTGTACAAAGTGCGTCGTTTCCAAATACGGTCACTATATGTGGAACTCGAGAGTGCGGTTGATTAAACGATTTTTCAATGCCAGCACCGAAAGTGGCTAATTCTTTTTCAAACTCACCAACGACCACTTTTCGAGCAGTACTTGACCACATATTCGTGCAGACAAACGCCCAAAAGATTTTTTTCTGCTGACAAAATTTCAACACCGGACGAACTTGTGATAGATCAGCGAACGTTCCAGGTGCAGCACAGTAGATAACGCAAACTGGTTGTTTTTCTTCGATAAATTTTAGCATAGTCATTTCGCCACTTTGATTAGTCCATGATTCGATACCTGGCGTGTCGTAAAAATTAATTTGAAATGGTTTTATTCCAGGTGTTTTTTGTTGATCATCTTCCAAAATGTAGCGTGCTATTTCTTTCGTGCAGGAATTCAAACTCGAACTTGTCGCAGCTTTATTCTCGCCGTTGCAAATGGCATTGATGAGTTGACTTTTGCCGACACGTGGCGAACCAATGAGAATTATGTTAAATTGAAGTTTTTCTTTGACATGATCCAATTCAGATGAATAGTAATCGTTTTGTAACCTGTCGTGTACTTCTGAAGTTTTAGCACGTAGAGATAGAACTGCGCTTTCTTTATTTTTGGTTGCTTGTCTGGGTGATATATTAACCGGTTCGCTGTCTGAATGTGATTCTTGTTTTTGAATAGAAGCAATGATGTCGGTTAAGTCTTCATCATTCGATCCAGTTTGTGTTTCTCCTCTAAAAGTCCACGCTGGAAGCAATGTATGTATTGTTTTTTCATACCTTTTAAACTGAAAAAATTTCGTCAGTCAAAATCTATTAACATATTTACTTACTGGTCGATTTGATGAATTCTTTTCTAAAAGAGAAAAAAAATAAATTTTATCAAATCAACGAATCCAATTCTACATCGAAAAATTTACCGAGAAAAGTGCTGAATCGTTCGTCTTATCTTATTCTTTTCTTTTTTTCTGTTCTTATTGTTTTTTTTCTATCTTCGTCTGATTTCCGGTCTTTCCTTTTCTTTCATTTCCCCCTTTTTTTCTATAGTACTTGACTTCAGTCAAATTATCATATAACAAGCTTATAAAGTCTAAAGTCCAATTGTCCGTCTAGGAACTATACCAAATAAGTCATAGGACTCAAGAAGAAGTCAATAATAATAATAATAATAAAATATTAATTTACCTCTAGTGGAAGGTTTACTACTTGTATAGTCTTCATCTAAATCAATGCAATTGTTGTATACATGATAGGTAAATACCGCTCGACGAACAAATTTTTGACAAACAGGACATTGATCAGTCTTATTACCGCATTGATATAAATGAGCGCCCATTGCCTGTGATGTTGGCAAATATTCGTTGCAGAATTCGCAGGAAAATCCTCGTCTTTGACAACTAGTTTTCTAAAAATGACTCTGTTCTTTTATTGACAAACTTGAATATTTTCTTACCTTGTGTTCATCCAGAGTGACTTGATCATTATAAGATTGTCCACAGGGACATGTAATTGTGGATGCAGCATGGTTGCGACCCGCCATTGTAAATTGTTTTTTTCAAATGACTAATGAGACGAGCCTTACTCAAGTAGGTGGCCGGAAGACAACATTTTATCTAAAACAAATAAAATTTAAACATAGTAATCACTCATCATATAGACATACTGTAGAATATAATGAAAAGTAAAAGGACAATAATGTTTTTTTTATAGGGTGCACTTGTGTTACATAACTGAATACATTTGTAGATTACATATTTTCGATAGAATCTACTCAAGCGAGATGGACTTGCAAACAAGTTAGTAAATCATCGACAAGAGATGCTGTCCGATGAATATTTAAAACTATTTAAGAAAATTTTCACAAAACAAAATATAAAAATGTGCATGTTTTACTTTACTCGATTGCTGCTTTTTTATCGACTTCAATGTGATCAAACGATGCATATATTGAGAAGAAGTAGACGGTATTAAAACAGAACGGAAGAAAGAATGGAAAAAAATGCAGCGAATAAAACACATGGAGACACACATGGTTAAGGTGTCGCTTATGACTATTTTGTTCTTGTGCTTAAAAAAAGAATTATTGATCGCTTTTCATCTCACTGATCCATGTAGAATGGTGCTTCAAAGTAGTTATGTATGATCTGCCATAAGCTTTTCTAAATCATATGAAGTATTTTGATAATATTTGAAAAACATACCTTTTCAAAAATTTGGTGTGAGTTTGATGAGATATTCGAATTTATAAAGTTTGAATTCATCCACGAACACAGCAGCACATAACTTACAAGATAGGAAACATTTTTCTAGCTATGAAAACAGGCCAAGTTGACAACTTCAGTTTCTTGATAAATATGAATATACAAATCAGTTTATTTTGATGAAAAAATGATTGTATCTGTTTACCATAGTGTGTTATTATCAATTCAGTTTCTTCTAAAAATTTCACCACACGATATAAATGAGTTATAGTACACAGTTTGGATACATCAAAAAGCCATAAAAACTAAAATATGATTTACTGCAGTTGCCTGTAGTCTGATTGCACTAATTTTGCATATATTTTTTAAAGAATAGGCAATGCAAAATTCAGCAACGCCAACACATGAACGCCCATCTTGGACCAAAATGGTGTATTTTCAGCAATAGTATGATTCCAAAAATTAGTTCATTGATACCATCGATGTTACTCCACTATCTGTATCTTCGTAAGTAACACTATTCACTGACGCGCACAGACTAATGTCACCACAATATTTTACATTAGCTTCTTCATGTGACATTGAGAAAGGATTGCATGAAAATCATTCAAGACTGAAGCACGTTGTTGAGTACATCCACAGTATTTTTTTGTGCATACAAGAGCACAGAAGATATTTGATTTGATACAAGTTTCGATAAGCCATTTAAAATGATGGAGTCAAGCAAATGAACCAGACGATGCAAAATAAATCATACACAGTGAAGTACTTTCAAGCATGATTTTTGTGAAATGCTTTTCAACCGTTTTCCAACACGAGCCGAGCCACAAACAGCTATACTAAGCTGCTTGGTCATATCTAGAAAACGCAATAGGATGTTCTAATCTCCTGCTGGGCGAACTTGTAAGAAGTCAGTGAAAGTTCCTACAGTAGCACAGTTGGTAGTACACAATTAATCATTGTTTTCGATAGATTTGAACATGAGTATTTCTTCACCACTTTGATCAGTACAGGATATTGTTGTAGAGATAATTGAAGACGATACTATTAATCTTCTATAGAGGTCACACATTAGCAGCGGCAAGATCTTTACAAGAATCGCACGTGTGATCATATCTGATCTGGTAAGGTCAGACGAAAAATCGTCGTATCAGAAGATTCTTGAAAGGTTCTGTTACATTTTAATTAAACTAATATTTCCTTAAAATATCACGGCAAATTTTTATTGAAAATAAATTGCATGTGCAATCTTTAAAGAAATTTTAGTGATTTTTACATGTTTTAAAAGCATGTTGATAGAATAAAAACAACGACAGCTCAGTAAACATGAAGAGTAAATACCGTCAAATTATTTTCGAAATAAATCAAACATTTTGGACGACTAAATTAATTTAAATAAGTTTCTTCTATTTAATCGATACTGCTGTCAGTTAGTTGTAGTAGTGAGACTCAGCATATTTCAAGTGCGAATTTAAATTGAGTAAACGAGAAAAAATAAAAGCTTTCGAGCTGCTGCTGTTCGCTCTTATTAATCATACGACATTAAAAGCAACTTGCTTTTATGTCATAAATGAGTAATAATAAAATTTGAAGGTATTTTTTTTTTATGTTAGAAGTTCTACCATAGTTGGAAATTTCATGAAATTCAGACGTGATTGCAACATCAACTACTGAAATTATATATTACTATTAATCAATTGGCATAGTTGATTTTTGAAAAATTTTATAATAAGTTTTCTGATAGTTTTAAGTTCAGTTAAATGAACGTTAATTGAAATTAATATTTAGATGAAGATCAAAACACAAAACTAAATGAAAAACTCGCCATTTTGATGGTGATCGTATGGATATGACTAATAAATCATTACATTTAAAATTAGATCTTTATTTCTCAATTGAATGCAGTTTTGCTAATATAAATTATGTATACCTCAGCAAAATAGTTAGCTACTGCTACGACACTTATGTTTTTCCTCCCTCAGAATTCGAAGTTCGGCGAAGTAGAAGAACAGTCGCATTCATATCCTCAAGACCTTTGTATGTCTTCTACAGAAAAAATCGATAATATGACTAAAATAGCTATTGCTCCTTAATGAATGATAGCCACATCAATAAATTCTATTTATTTTGCACGATGCTCATGCATGTCTCTTTATTAAGATCAATATCGAACATAAATTTAATATTGAGATTTTCCATAAAGTGTTGCCATCATTGCTACAAATAACTTCAGCACATAACAGGAAAAAAAATGGACATATATCATATCTCATTCAACAGATCAACAAATCATATATACAAAAGAATTTTTTCTTTCATGATCGATTTATGAAACGTAAATAATTGCGATCAAACACATGCTGATCGTTGTTCGACGATACATTTTCATTTGACAAACGAATTATAGCTGTATGTAGAAGATCTTCGTCAATAATTAATACTGACGTTGAATTGAGTGTATTATTATTATCATCGCATTGATCAGAATCGCTATTGGATTTTTGACGACGACGACGACGACAACGATGATCACGGGGTTCTTGTTGCTTACAATTGGTTTCACCAGTTGATGTACCTGTGTAAGCGAGTCGAAGTTCAATTAGTGTTTGTATAACATCTTCAATGCAAATGCCAGTATCCATGCTAAACAAAATGATGTAGATCTCTTAAAGTAAACAGAGATATAGCTGCTGGTGATGATCACTATATAAGATCTACTTCGTTAGCCTGTTAAAAGATTCCCAGATCATCATCATCATCATCATCATCATGAGAATCGACTGATATAAAAACCACGAAGTTACGCTTTTCGAGAGAAAAAAAGCCTATCTCCCACAAACCTTAGCTGTGCAACTGTAGCATGTATTTGTGAATGACGATATTCATCAAGTTTCGTTAATATTGTCGAATACCAATAACTTTTATATGTCATCTGGCCAAGAGCTGATAGTGGTTTTTCGGGTGAACCCGTTTTTTTCTCAAGTTTAGTTAATTCATAACCTGAAATAAATAATTAAAATCAGTTTTCATTTAAACGAGACGCTTACTTAATGCAATTAAAAATCGACCAAAACCTTGTCGTTGCCGATGAGGCAATACCTAACCAAAACAAAAAAGAAAGTTAATCGAATAAAACTAATTAACAATACAAAACAAAACAAAATACCATTAAACAAGCCAAATTGTAAAATTCATCACTTAGTTTTTCCTATAAAATATATTTCATAATAGATTTTTTGTTTTATCGAGAAAAAAAAACAATAGTAGATTTGTACTTTTGAAAAGTAACCAATGACATGTTGAACATTTTTCATTCGTTTATCCGATTCAACCAAAACATAAAATAGAAATGGATTAACATCAAAATAGATTGTCTTTCGTTCTAAAAATAATTTTGCTAATAAACACAGACATTGACAGTAGAGCTAAAATGTTAAATAGAGAAAATTGCCAAAGAAAATTTTTTTTCTATTAAATCTACTTCAGATGTATTTCCATCAACTTCATATACAGATAGACCATTCAAATCTTCATAGACTTTACGACCAGGAGGTTGATGTCGATTACATTCATTCTAAAATTAAAATCAACGTTTTCTATAGTTGTTCGAATCCTAGATTCATTAATGAGAATTTTTGTTGCACAATATTCCGAGTACATTAGAAAACAGAAAGATTTAGAGGGAGCCAAGCTTGGTTGCACCTATTCTATTTACCGTATGTTGTCGATAATTTTTACTATGAAGAAAATATCGTAAACAAAATTCACAAATATATAACTTTTCAATCGTACGATATTTTTCATTTGAACCCTCTTGATTATCAATGTATGGCGAATAATACCAACAGTTAATATCGATTTGTCCTAATTGAATTGATTGAATATTTTTTGTATTATCGGGAATCTAATTAGAAGAGAAAATTGAATCAAAATAGAACAGAAAATTTCTTTACATCAAGTTGTTCATCATCTTCATCAATCATTGCATCATTATCGACCATGGTCTATTATATCTAAAAACCGTAAGCTTCGTATTGTGACGTAAACTTAGACAAAAAGAAAAATCAATCCAATTCTATACTCTTTCAAAGATTATTTTGTCGGAAACAAAATATTAGTATTATCTGTTTGGACTACGCACTCTGATGTAATTCGATTGATCCAATCGGAGCTTGTATGCTTATATAAAAGCAATGGGGAAAATGGCATGTTTCAGTTTAATTACAAGTTCTACTTGATAGAAAATGCTATGATTGATAAATCGATATGAGCTGGCTTTTACTTTATTTCCTACTAAAAAAACAATCAACGCATCAAAATAATTTCCTACGCCGAAGCTGGTGTAGTTGATTCTTTTGCTTTTTTTTCTTCAATTTCTTTCTTATAGTTAATATATTCTTGTTCAATTGGTGTTGGTACACGTCGTAGAGATCGGTTATAGAAGAGATAACGATTCGGTTGACTATTCGGTTTGAATTCTAGTTTATCTACGTGCCATCTAAAACGAAGATAGTTTTATTGTAGAAAATAGCAGGAATCAATTTCTTTTTCGTCTTACTCATCATCTAATGAATCGCGTGTTGCATAACAATACACAGTGCCTGATCGTTGAGCACCTCGAACAGGAATTTGAACCTAAATAGCGAGCAGCAAATTTTCATACGCTTCTATCAAGAAATGATTCAATAGATTTACTTGTGCTCCAAGAAGTGTAAGAGTATTGAATTCATTCGATGTATCTATTTTAAGTGGTTTAATTGGTTCGACTAGTTTGTCTTTAATTGGCTTATAGCCACGAGTCAATGTCAGAGCTTCTTCAAAAAAAGGTTTTTCACTATAGATACCTTTAAAAAAAAGAATTGAATTATAATAGGAATCAAAAATTCCTTTTTGAAATATACTTGGACTTGGTTTTAACATATATTTGTATGTTGCAACGCTGATAAGGATTGTCGATGATCCGATTATAGCTAACTTGAATGCCATCGTTGAATGATCGCAATTAATTAGGACCAAATAAGTGAATTCTCTATTTGAGACCAAGACAATAGTGCTGTGCTGTGGTGTGTATATGCTTAATAGAATCTGATTGATTGAAAAGCAGTCAATGTTCACAAATCAGGTTGATAAAGAGCCAATAGTATCGAAGACTAGTGCCATCTGTTGAATATGCCAATTTACTATAACTTCTCGATTAGGAAATCAAAAATAATCGGCGCTAGTCTTAATATCGTTTCTTGAAATGACTTCAGTACCTTGTTTTTGTTTTCTCTATTTCAGAATACTTGAGAATGATATTTCCTCCTTCTTTTTTTTAAACACATACTACTCGCCGATGCAAAGATTTTCATAAGTGAGTGTTTAAAAAAAGAAGAAAACAACAATATTAAAAATTCATCAATAGAAGTATTTATTCAACAAGTTTTTTTTTTCCTTCATGATGAACATGAAAGATTTAATCAAAAGAGAAAGATCGATACGAAGAAAAAACAACGGTTTACAGCCATAAACTGACGGAATTTTCAGCATCACATGCATAATTGACATGTAACAATTTTGTATTTCGTTTGATCCATTCCCATGAAATAAATTGTTCACTGTTGATAGCGCGCGGTTGACGAATAATTACATCGGTTACAGTTGTTTTCTTTATACTATTAAGAATTTGTCGTAGATTACTAACACATGATAGATGAATGTCAAATCTTTCAAGATAGCTAAATGAATGACAAATTGCATTCATCACATTTAAACATATGACACAGGAACAATCGTTAGGATCATGTTCAATTCTCAAATGACGAATATTCGGCCATGAATGAACAATAACGTAGTTGAGTATAGGCCCGCATAGACTAAGAGCACGTAAATTTGGTAAATTACGTAGAAAATCAATCATTTCATAGGGTGATTTCGAAATCCATTCATTACCAGGATAACATGTAACAATACGAGATATATCGAGATACATACAGATATCTTTGAAATTTAACGGAAATACAACATCAACATAGGTCAAATTCAATTGTTTGATTGAGGTATATCGATGTAAGAGTGCATATTTTGCATGTTGATGATTGACGGTTGAACAGTGAACAGTAGGCAATGCGGTTGGATCGCATTTCGATGATTCTGATAGTAGAATTCCAATGATTTCATTTGAAGGATAATCAATCGTAGACGAAAGATCTGACCGTAATATTGAGTAATCTATATCTATGTTTTGCTCGTAAATAATAAACCATTTTTTTTCTTCAAGCCAAAATTTCGTACGAAATGAATCGAGATTGACTGGCTGGTGACTGAATGCATCCCAATAAAATTGAAGTTTACATTCAAAATGTTTGATCTCTTGTAATAATTCTGCCCAGGCATGACCATCAGCCATATCACTATTTAAATCATCAGCAATTACCGTTAAATATTCTAGACGAGAAAGTGATGAAAGCAAAGTTGCTGTTGTCGCCCAAGTAATAGCATAGAGTTCAAGTCGTAGTCGTTGTATGTGTAAGGGTTGATTATGAACGACATCAAATATTCTGTTTGAATTACTAAAACTAACTTCAAGTGTATGAAGTCGCGGTACGATGGTAAATAGACTTGGTAAATTGATTGTAATTCCATCTAAATGAAAGTGTTGGATAGACGATAATAGTGTTGGATTGCGCTCGCGAATCGAAATCATTTTGTCCGAATAATTGCTCATTTTTAGTGAGAGATATTCGAGTGATGGTGAAAATAAAAGAAATTCATATAAAGTTTCGGATGTTATGAATGAGCTTGTCGATCGACCATTATAAACCAAATGAATTGATAATTTCACTATCGATAACGGAAGTCGAGATTTGAAAAAGAGCCATGTTTCATAATCAATATAAGTTAAAGTCAATGATTGAAGATTAGAGAATGTTCTTACCATAGGACAGAATTTTGAGAAGAAAAACGCATTTTTTGTGGGCGTTATTGGATCGTCTTTATCGAAGAGTTTTAATGATACAATTTGAGGAGTCAAATAAAGAATTTGAGTACAAATATAATCAAATTCATTTTTGCTGATTGGTCTAACTAAAGAACTAAAGTCCAGTTCAAATCGAGGATAGGCAATAGAAATAGAACGAAGTCTTTTATTGACCAAGAAAACCGATAAGAAAATATCGAATGTTGGCACATCGCTCAAAATCTTATGAATTAATTCTGCAGGCAATGCAGTCAGATAGTCCATTTTTCCTTTTCGGATCATTACATTGCTATAATAGAAAGGCTTGCGCATGCACATATATGAAGGCTGTTGACGTACAATAGCCGTCGAGGTCATGCTGTTGCGGTGGCCGTTCATTGTATGTGTTTTCTTTTGCCTAGGAACATTTTCCTTTGCTGTCATCGTCAGGTTAACAGAAATGAAGTCAATAGTCCGATTAGACTATGTATTTTATTGGATAAAAAAGGAGATCAAACGGATTTTTCTCTACTATCGGTATTCGTTTTGGGTTTATCTAAGGTGTTTTATGTTTCTTAAAGATCACTGGCGCAATCAATTGCTTCGGCTTGTTCATCGTTAATCATATAGAAATAACAGATTAGTTCATAGGATCATTCATCAGTTTTCTACAGGTATTAGTTGAAAACAATGTATAACATATATATATATATATATATACTAAATAATAATAACCCGTCCGTTGTAGCCATTGCTAGTCTGATAATAGCACTTCTCCTTGGTTAGGTTACACAGAGAACATAGTACTCAATGCAATTTGCCACTGAATCGGAAACGAATTCATTGTAGAGTTCATATTGACATGTCATCAACGCAAGTAGTATAGTATTCGGCAGAAAACTCTTTAGAAAGATCAAATCGACCTCATGGTTGGCTATAGAGAGTATTCGAGAGTTCTTTTATAGATGCGTATATATAATAGTGCAAAACAGAAAAATCAATCGTGCTCTTATCAACTAGCGAATATCATTATTCCTAACGTTTAATAAATCTATAACGTATTTATAGGTTTTTCTGTGAAATAAGATCCGTTTCTATCAAGTTACTTTATTGTTTTATAGTAAAATCGGCCAGAACTACTTGATCAAAAATCAATGATTGTAATGTCTATTAAAATTTCCGAGATATGTTCAAGCTAAAACCATATTCAAGCATGTCTCATTAAGTTTTTATTTAGTGTCAATATTCCTTAAAATGTGTCATTGAAAATATAAGTGAATCTTGATTGACTGATAAACGATAAAAATAGGATTTTCCCATTCATCTCAAGTTTATTGGGAGCAATATAAAAATTCTTCAAGCTCCTTATTTTATTCTACTCATAATTTTCCAATTAATTGCTCTTAAGATTTTCCACACAAATAGGCAAAGTAGTTTTTTTTCTAATCTTTTCATTTACTACTTTTCTACTTTCGAAGAAAATTCATGAAAGAAAGGGAAAACATGGTGAAAAATATATTTACTTACATATATCCAGTTTGCATGTTTTTCATCAATACGTCATACTCCTCCGTTTTTTTTTCTAATTTTTATTTCCGTTTACTACATAAAGAAAAAAGAAAAAAGAAAAATTGAGACAGCAAACTAAGCTTTTCTCCTTCCTTATTCTAACAATCGGTTGTTGTGACGGCCTCACAATTTTCTTGTCTACATGAACAACACTTGTTAGTATCATGTAAAAACTAATAAAATGATTCATTCAGTGTTTTAGAACTCATTGTCTTCATTTATTAAACTGCAGTTTAAAAAAAAAATGATGATTTCAACGCCGATACCTTCGCCAGGTATTGTTGAACCAATTGATGAATCTCTTAATATAAATGTCTATGATGATAATGGATATTTACCTTTACATCGTGCTGCATTCAATGGACATGAACTAACAATTAAGAACATCTTAGATGAAGCTCAAAAGCGAAATGAACTTCTACAACAACTTGAAGCAATAACACATGATGTTAATGAATTTACTCCATTACTTTTAGCAACTGCAGCCGGACGACTAGATATTATTGCTTATTTTTTAACATATCCGGTGAATTTTTATGCAACGGATGCGCATGGATTCGGTAATTGTTCAGAGGAGTGAGAGAGAGAGAGAGATGATTATTTAGATAAGATTTCAGAAGAGTGGCCATTTTGAACAACAAGTATCGTCTATAACAAACCCTCAATCAAAAGCTAATATTCTGTTAACATGTCCTGACATTGAAGCTAGTAGTTGGTCTGATTTTGAATCGAAAACTCCAGGGATCTCATTAGTAAAAACTACACTTTAAAACTTTTGACTCTATTGAATCCCTTAGAGGAGATCTTTCTAGAATGCTTTTACCATCTTTTTTTTACTAATTCATATGAATTACTATTGTCAAGAGCAATAGAATATTTCAAAATAAATTGGAAGATACGAAAGAAATACTAGTCGCCGGGCAGCAGTAATATAGTGTTCGAAAAGATTGAAAAACAAACTCTGTAAAGTAAGAGTAGGGCATTTATTCGATATGGTATAAGTAAATACTGACTAGAGAATTTTTCTCAGTCATGTTTAATTATTTCAGTGAATTGAAAACTTCAAGACCTACATCGTGACGTTGTTTGTGATCGAATCATTTTGTTTTTGTGCTTGAATCTTGTCATTCAATAATAAGTGATCCAAGAAAAGAAGTTACCATTAAAATGTCTTTTCCTGAAAATGTTCGTTATTATTACTTGACGAGTTCAAAGTGCTGTTAGTCATACAGTTTTAACTTTAGCTTATGTTATCTTTTCAAAAGCTAATTGAGAATGGAAAGCTTTCTTTGAAGTCAATATTAATTGATAAAAACACTTTGCGTATGTCGACTTGTGCTCAAACTATCTATTTTATACACGCCGTTGTACACGTTGAGTTAGTCGGAATTGCGCAAAAATATCCTTCTGTTCAAAGACTTTTCCCGTCATTTCATGGACGGCAATCGAAAACTAATTAGAAAAATATTCTATAAAACTTCCAATGAAGTATCAATGATACATACGTCAAGGCGTTGTTTCTTTAACTTTGACATTAATCATTATATAGACAGGAGACAACTGTTGTTTAGAACCGAAACTGTTTGATGTCGTCGCACATTGAGCTGAAACCTTTCTATTCTGTCTCACTGAATGTAACCACAAATAAAATGTTTTCGTTTGGAAAGACAAATAATTTCTAACAGGAAAGATTGTTCTCTCTGTGAGTACTCGACATATTTCAATGACAAGTGAGCATAATCAGTCAGAATCACATCAAATGCATCGTATAAAATAAATAAATGTTGAAACACATCATGTAATCGTTTTTCTTTCTCTCGTTTTTAACCGAATTTAATCATAAAATAAATATTCATGATGTTCAAATAGACTTGATTTGCTAACGTGAACATTTGTTAAACGAAAAAGAACCGAGATAAATTGCTATTTATTTTTTTATTTCTATTCTTGTTTAATAAAGGTATGACTGCTATTGCGGTGCTGTCACAAAATGAGCGTACGCTTCGCTATATTATTGATTTACCTATTTCATCTAAGGAATACAATGTGTGGAAGCCCATGTTTAAATTATTTGCATCGATAAGAGAAGAAGATAGTAGTGCTGCCGGTCGTATGATTGAATTATTAACTCGTCCCCAATCGGATCACATTCATGTAAGTTCATATTGGTTGCCGATGCTGGACAATGGTCTATTACCAACATTAGTACAAATATTTGATTTATCAAGAAATGACGATGCACTTGAAAGTGCATTTCTTATATTATTAAATCTTTTCAATGCATTACCAGATAGAAAAAGTGAATTAGACAAAATGAAAAATTCGTTTAGTGCAATATTAAAACATACGCGGTCAACTAATAATCAAATTTTGACATTATTAGGTCGAACTGTATCAAGTTTGAGTACGGAAAAATTATTAGTTGATTCTATGGTTGATCAAGGTCTTGTTGAATCATTAGTAACGCTCCTTGATAAACAACATTCACCGCAAATTATTTATCCATTTTTCGATTGTTTAGCCAATGTTGTAGCAAAATCATTTGAATATCAGCATAAATTTGTCTTTTTAAAAGATTTTCTTCTATTAATTGTACGTAGTTATTTGCAAGAATTCGATCTAAATTTATCACTGTCAGTCATACGTTTTATTCGCCAATTAGTTAGAAACAATCCCGTCCTACAAGATATTCTTGCGCATTATGGTGCATGCGAACATTTGCTTGGCGCATTATCGGCATCATCAAAAGAATTACAACAAGTATCTATTGAAGCAATACAAGCATTGAGCGATAAAAATCAACTCGTTCAACAAATACTATTACGTGAACATGCTCTTGAACAACTATTAACTTTATTAGAAAAAACAAACATGTCAACGTTGCAAATTGCTATTGTATGCACACTATGGACATTATGCGAAAATAATTCAATACAAAAACGTGATGTAGCAACAAGAATTGGTGTGAGAAAATTAATTAGTTTTTATACGATTAAATCAGATGAACATCTATTAGTTGTAACCGATGCATTGAATGAATTAGCTAAATCTGCAGCAAGTGTCAACATGAATATTCCAGAAGAAATCAATCAATCACAAGGAATTCCATATCTTATTCGTCTTCTTAAATCCGATAATGAACTGCTTGTTTTAAGTGTTTTAAAAAGTTTACAATTAATAACATGTGCGCCCGGTTTTACTTCGAACCGAAAAAATCAAGAAATTATTGTTAAAAACGATGGCGTTAAATTACTTGTGGCTTTAATGATGCATGCGAAACGCGAAGCTGTTCAAGTTGAATCAGCTCAAGCTTTAGCTTGTATTGCATTAGGTGAGCAGTTGCTTAAATATATTCTATACAAAGTTGTTATTTTATTAGGCAACAATCAATGTTCAGTCTTAATTGAAAGTACATTGGATTTTTCTTACGGACATCTAGTTGATCTCATGCATTCACGTGATATCAATGTTCAAATAAAAGCGTCAAATGCTTTAGCAACATTTATCTATAATAATTCTCGTGTACAATTATCTCTCTCGAATCAATATCAATTTTCATTTCGTTATTTTGAAAAATTTCTTCAAAGTCACAATGATTCTGTGAGATCTACAGCTGCATTTCAAGTTTGTTGATTTTTTAATTTTGAAAACTAGCTAAAATAAAATTTATTTAGGTTGTCGCTTTTTCTGGTCTAATTACTGAACAAAAACAATCAGTTAATACAGCTATTGGATGTGGAATTCTTATGGATATACTTCGAGCTTCACCAGTAGATGATGCTCAATCGGCAGCTGCAGAATGTTTAGCTAGACTTGCACACATGAAATCAGGTAAATAATCAAACGAAATCATTCGATTGTTTCTTTTCTCCATAAAAAAAAAGATTTATTTGATTATAGTTTCAGACGAACATAAGCACACAGGTATATACTTTCAACCTCTTCTCCTTTGTACTTAACTAGTATTATAAATCCCTATTGACCTTCTTCCCATTATTATGTACAATAAAAACTTGAGATCTTACTAAATTCTTCTTCTTTTTTAATACGAATTTTCACCGTCTCTTTCAGGTATACCACAAGCTGTAGTTGCTGTCAATGCCATAGATCATTTATGTCATTTATTTTCATCGTCAAATGATATAACTATTGGTAATGCCGCTGTTGCACTTGGATTTCTATCTTATGTACCCGAAGGCCGACGGAAATTATTGTATAGGTATGTAAATTAGCTTTTATTAATATTCTATTTCTCGTATATCATTGGTTTAACAAAAATACAAAAACAAGGTGCCGCAATGAACCAGATATCATGGCATTTTTGAAAGTATACAATTGTTTGCCTGGTGCAATTCCACGTCTGTCAATACACTTACTTGAAGATTGGGATCGATATGATACATTGAAATTACCTAAATTAAGGTCAGCATTTCTAATAGTTTGTTTTGTTTTTGTCCTGTATTTAATCAGTACGATCGTTCGACGTCACCGGAGACGAACGGGCTTAAACAATATGAACAGATTTATTCTTGTAGCTATTGATTTACGGCATATTTTGCCGTAATACGTCAGTTTATTTTTCGCTAGCAAACACTCATCGCTTTTTTTCTCTTTCTCTCACTATTTTTTACAGATTTATGGTAGTGTGCGGAAAGCATCGATGAAATAATGTACTGCTTTATGTCGTTTTCTTACGGCGCTGTTTTCCTTCGGTCTGAGTTCTTATTCTTTAAGATACAATCTCAAGAGCCTATGGTGATGTCATGTGTTTTAAAATTTATTAGGTTTTTGTTTTGCTGTAGGTCGCAAGAAGCCAATATACGATATTTCAAAGTTCTTTCGAATAATATCGAACGATCACGAGCAGCACCACAATCAGATTATGAAAACGAACAAGCACCATCGAACAAAAGTGACTTCTATTTACCACCGCTACGTCAGAAAGTTTAATTTTTCTTGTATATCCATCCTTGTAAAGAAAAAAGTCTTCTTGTTTTGTTTTTCGTTTTATGGTTTTAATTTATTATTTTATTATGTGCTGAAAAGCGAGTGAAAATAATAATAAATATTGATTTATTTTATTTTATTTATTAAGTAAACAAGCAACTATTGAACTATGTATTAGAGATGTGCAGGGTAGGGTAGGGTAGGGTCAGGGTAGAGGACCTACAAGGTAGAGTAGGATAAGGGTAAACGAAAATTCCTTTATCAGAGTACAAGGTAAGAGAAAACCTTACCCCGCACATCTCTACTATGTATATTTGGCAGTTGACAACAATGAAAAACTAGAAAATGAGTCAGTCTATGTTACAATCCGAGTATGTGAAAACAAGGTAGTTGGCATGTCTGTTCTTTATCGCATTAAATATGAAAATTTTAAGTATGCAAAATAATAATAAAAACTATTTAGAAAACTAGAAACAAATGACCTACAGTATTTTATTCTGACGCTGGGTACTTGTCTTGAGTAATTATAAAGAGATTACTGCAAGTATATTTTCATTGGAATGTAATACCTTGAAAATATTTCTCTTGCAATAATTACGGCTTTAATAGTATGTCTATACTAAACATGAGACGTACTGACTTTTTTTTTAAAAAGTTTTGCAGCGACTCCTACGACGTATTAGATGGAATTAAATAGCGGTCATTTGTTTCTATCTATTTCTTATCTCTAATGTAAATTGGATACAATTAAGTTGTCGATAGATAGGACAATTTAATGAACAATCTGCTTTTATCTGTTGTCGACATTGATGATTGATATTATATTTTCATTGCTTTACGAAAAAATGTCACGAGATAGTGCAGAATTGTTTTTTAAAACAAACAACTAAATAAAAATAAAAATAAATGCTTTCATTTATTATTTAGCTATTACAATACGTTACTTTTTTTTCGGTTCAAACAATAATAATCACCAACAAAAAAAAAAGTTTTATTCGAAGAATATATATTATAAGATTTAACATTGAAATACAATGATGGAGCTCAAAAAATTCACCAATGGGAATGATCACTGAGAAAGAAAATATGATGTTTCTCATTTTTTTTTCTTCTTCTGAGAAACATCGACAGAAACAAAACAGTTCGAAAGGAAGAAGCAATTAGATTTAGTAATATTCCCATAACACGTCTAAATCCGCCATTGTCTAAATATTATAATGGAGAACTGGCATTGTGTGATATCCGACAATTATTATTTTTATTATTATTCACAGGGCTAAATATATGTAAGTAACGACTACTTGAATTAGTTCGTAATGAAGTAGTTGCACCACGTTTTCGTTGACTTTCACTCATATTTTCTTCGTCAGAAAGTAATGTTCCTGATGTCGTCAACGGATTTATTGTCAATGGTGATTTTCTGATTGTATTTAATTTAACGCCTCCACTAATAAATGTATTTTCCTGTAGAATTCGAAATTGTTCGGGTAAAATGTTCGAACATCCAGGCAAAGCTGATATCATAACACGAAGTTCTTGTCGGAAAACATTTGCCGTTAAAAAATAGAGTAAAAAATTTGCTGCCGTATTAGTATAATAAATCAATGAAAACACAGTCCATAGTGACTGAGAATTTCGCCCGTGAAAATTTTTAAATAGATTTCCAAACGCCATAAATGTCGATGCTGGCGCTGTTAATAATATAAATACACATGATACAGATAGAAGCATAATAGTTAAATTTCGTTGTTTAACTTGTCGACGACGATTCTTCTGATGACTATGCTGTTGTATACGACGAGCCGATGCTATTACATTTAATATCAACGAATTAAGAATTAACATTATTATAAACGGACATAACGTAAAGAAAAGCCATTGAATATAGCCTAATACATTCGAACGAAACCATAGATATTTCGGATAGTTCAATGTTATATTGCATACACGTCTATATGATATAGTATGATTGAACGAAGTTGAAATTTGTTTATTAGGAATGGATCGGAGCTCATAAAACATACCCCAATGTAATTCAATAAAAAATGATACCAAGCAAATTAAGCCAATAACAAAATAAGCATTCTTAACAGTGCAATGTTTTTTTGAATAATGATGTTTTGCTATAGCAAGATAACGTTGAACACTAACAGCAACAAGTAATGTTGGAGATAAATTAATAAAATAATAAGTGAAAAATATATGGACTTTACAAGATAGATTGCTGTATAAACGCATATTACGATTGGAATCAAGTCGGACTAGATAGAAATTTAATACACTAAAGAAAACATTGCCTAGACAATAAATAGAATAATTGTAGACGTAAAAAGAAAAGTATTAAATATATTCCTACCGAGATCGGATAATGCTAAAGCAATGAGATAAATCGATGTGACTTGTGTTCGTAACTTTTTACGGCTAAGTGTTAATGCCGATAGAGTATTTCCAATGCCACCGACGATAATTAATAAACAGCCGATTATTCGAACAGACCATTTTAATATAGAGAAACGTTTTTCAATAGAAATTGGTGGTGTAATCGTTGATGAATTCGTAAAATTTAAGAAATAAAAAAAGGATATATTTGATGATACTGATGAAAATGATTCTATTTGATATTCGAGCGTTGTTCTGGTCATTTGAATGTCATTATCGATGAGAAGTGGTTCAAGCCAGAGTATATCTTCGTTGATTATAGACATGATCAGTAGCATGAATAATCGAACAGCTATTAACGGATGACTTCAGAATCGGTGGAAATCCGTTGTTTCTGTATGTAACCTATGAAGAAAGAAAACATATTAACAAAACATAATCAACATTAATAATCAATTATCTTTTGATATAAAAGAAAAAGAAATGACTTTTTAGCCTTTTAATCCAAGATTCCATCTTTACATATCAAAACTATCCTTAATCTTTTTGAAGCCACACAAAACGAAAGAAATCTCTTCTTCTGCTTTTGTTTTGTTCTCTCTATATCAAACAGTACATTGAATTAGCACTATACGACTCTTCTTAAAGTATTAAAAGGAAATCACAGGAAAAAAGATTACAACATATAGCTATGATATATCTCTATAATCGAGTCGCTTTCGACCATCAGATGATTTGAATATTTCTCTTATTGAATAGGCAATGACAAGCTAAATAATAACGATAATAATTGTTATCAACAAACTGATACAACTATTCTAGACAAGTGCATGACGAAGATTTATTAGATGCTTTTTCGATTCATCTATATAATAATAATAATAAAAAGAATATAGAAATTGTTTTCTATTCTATTGATGTCATTGCGTGTTGACAAGATTATATATATATATATATATTTATATGTGCTTTTCATAATTTAATTTCCGGCTTACCTTCTCCCTAATGGATCGACCAGAGATTGAAAATAATGCATCTATATATGGAAATGCCCAATATCATTACAACACACTCTATTACAGAACGACAAACGAAGAATTTTTGAGTTTTGTGTCTAAATAAAACCGATTTGAAAGAGAGAGAGAGAGAGAGAGAGAAATAGAAGTAATACTAGTATTAATTATTATCTTACATACAGATATCTTTTAACATTCCCTTGTTGAGTTGCTGAAATGAAATCTATTCATTGAATCCTTTTGTATTACAGTAGAATCTAGATATTTCTAAATTAGTTGTATTTATCTTCGATGAACAAAGTGAAAACAATTCTGTCATATACAAATTATTTATTTGTCACTTCGATCTTAGACTGTTTCTACAGCAACAGATTTCTATTGAAGAATATTGCTGAAAATAAACTCCAGCGTTCATTACATTCCAAGGTTAGTTAAATTATTTTTGAAGCTATATGATTGGTTAATGAAATAGCAAAAGTAATAAAGGAAACAAATGTTTCATTCTTCTTTTTGTGTACTCAAAAAACGTGAGTACACTAGATTCGGTCAGTGTGTCCAGCCGTTAACACGATAACTTTTGAAAGCCTCAGCCAATTGTCATGAAATTTTGTACACAGAATGATCTCATAAATATCTCAATCGAGTTCGAAGATGAAAGCAATCTGTCAAGAAATGGCTGAGTTATCGAAGAAATTGTTATTATTGACCAGACCATCCCTGAGGGAGGGTACAGGGATTTTTTCAAAGAAAACAATTTTTTTCTCAGAGTTATTCACAACATATATAAATCGACTCAGTTTTTGCAGTACACATAACAATCGGATGCGCATCCGATGTTTCCTCATTTTTTTATATTTAGAAACAGACACACTTATGAAGATGATGAATTGAGAATTTTAAAGTGACTTTTGATCTTTTTAAATCAAGTTTTTGTTATATGAGGAAAGCAAATTGAATTGAATTTTTGATGATGTTACCGCAAGGAAACAGTGTCGGAGACTTTATAGTCTTAGAAACATAATGTCGAACATTTTGAATTCCGTTATATCTATTTTCATTCACAACGGATCTACGTAACGCCCTTTTTTAACTGTTTCCTGTTATATTTTAAGTAAAAATAGTATATATACTAGCGGAAAACTACAAATATTTTGACACTTGTATCAAATAAAACTGTTTCTCTTCGCTAAAAATCTGATAGGAGGCCTTTTGTTGTTTTTACGTTTATCCGATAGGGATTCTCTTAGCCATATTGTGGTATCGATAACTTTCTGACGAATAAATATTTATCATTTCTCTATACTAACATCTATTAAAATATCCTTACCGATAGAGAACAAATCTGGCGTGGGTTAAATTTAATATTTATCGGATATAACAAAACAGAACAAAAAATGTAATTTCCTATGAGATCCAAACAGTAAAAAATCACTTTTGGTATCGTCTTTTATTTAAGATATTAAAAGCTATTTCATATTCACTTTGTTGATATATGAACAACAACGTATAATACAAATAATGTAATTTTGAGACGAATATTGACATAAATGATGAAAGAAAATTTCGCGTTGAAAATTCTTTTCATCTAAATTTCTTTATAATATCTATCAGAAAATAACATTATTATTTATTCTTTTGTAATACTGTCGTTTTCTTTCCAGGATGACAACAATCATGTTCTCATTTTCAAGCTCTCATTGAGACTTGTCATAGTATTTCCCTAACATAAATATAGGTAAACAATCGATAAACTACAATAGTTCCATTAAATAAATATAGAAGGAAAAAAATCGATCGAAACCCTGACACAATAAAAAGTGAACCAAATTGAATAGGGTGTGTTTCCTGTTATTACGGCTAAAATTTATTACTAATCGATTGCGAAATACAGAAAGCTGTAGGTTCATCGGAAATTAGATGTTTTTTTTCGCATCTATATAGTCGCACTATTGTTATAATGATTTTGCGTGCGCGCACTACATATATACAGCTATAATGTCTTTAGGGTATGAAAGATGATTTAACGAAGTTGAAGGCATAGTTTGTTTCGTATTGCTACTAACTTATTTTCAATGTTAGGCTATTCAATTAGATCAATTTGTTTAGCTACGGACTTGTAAAGAACAAATTTCTATTTTTAATTAAATAATATAAAAACGATAAAGTTTGATAACGAGAATTTTCCGGTAGAAGGAATAAAAAGTAAATTTCAATAATAATTCTTCATTTGAATGATGTAGATTAATTGTAGGTAGCGATTAATCTAGAGGTAACATTCTTCAAATAGATTACTTACGTTTAACGCCATTGTGTTTTGGGTTTTTTTTTCGATGTAAAGAATAGGTTGATGTTCTTTGTCGTTAATGTTAACTATCACCAATCAAGTGAGAAAAGGATTTTATAGGAAACAAAACAAACAGAGTTTTTTCTTTGACGCCTGTCTTCAGAATGATAAACAATAGAGTGAGAAAGTATTGCTTCGATCAGGGGGATCGTACAATATAAAAGAAAGAGAAAAGAGTTAATATATTTTCTTCTCTCGATTGTAGTCTTTTTTTCTTTTTTTCCTCATGGAAAAGAAAGTAACAAGTGACAATTTTCGTCGACATCAACATTGTTAGTTTAAATTGCATTGTCACAGATGTTTGCCTATCGATGAAGACATATCGAAAAAGTAACAACAAAGCATAAAGGGAAATGGACTCATCTTCTATTGAGAGTCAATTCAATCCTTTAGATTCTGACTTCAAATTGACAGCGACTAGATCAAATATATTCTTCAAAGAACCAAACATAATCAGAAGATAATCGAGAATGTAGCTTTGATGTCAGAGAATTCTCTATTTAATAAATAATTTAGAAATGAAAAAAAAATCACGAAGAACGCAGCATTACAGGCAGTTGACCTTAGGAGCAGTATCAGACATGCAAAATTTTCTTGTTTGAGCTCCATTATTAAAGTTCGGCAGTAATTGCTCGGCACAGGATTATACTTGGATTAACACAACTGCTTGGTCGTTTCTGTTTTTTTACTCTCAATTGTTTCATGTGAACATTCTAGATGTATCATCTATCTAACTAGTCCAGATTAACATAAAAACTATGACATTGACTAGTGTACTCGACGATAGATAACAAACGTATTACCTAAGTACTACACGTAAATTTTTACATATGGTGATCACGTAGCCGAGAAAATTGATAGTACAACAGAAAAAAGTACTAATCAATTATATTACGCATTCATTTTTCCCTGCTGAAGAGCCACCATCAATGCTGCTATGCTTTATTTTTCATCGCAACTGCTGCATGAGAACCAGTTGTTACATTATAAGAACAATTAAATAAAGGAAAGTAACGGCGGAAAAAAATTAATAATCGTATCTATTGCATATAGATTTCATATTTACATGTGAATGCTATTGTATGATCAAAATTTTATAGGCAGTGTTATTAGAGAATTGTTTTTCTAAGAAAACTATGTCGAGTATAAATATTGTTAATAACAACTAGGTATCGGTGGAATATTATGAGAAAATAATGAAGACTGACATATAAGATCTCAAAGAATATTTGAACTGTCTCGACAAAAAAATAGAAAAATTCTATTCGTCGTATGAATTGTTTTTATAAAAAAAAAATTAAGAAAGTGTATATCACAATATTATATAGTAGATCTATTTTTATTATTTACCGTCTATAGCCACAGGTGACATGTAGGACGCTTTTAATATTTCATCGTGATAGCTTATGGCAGATTTTTCCGGTCTACTTAAAATATGGAGTTACCGGTACAGAGTTTTCTGTCTGATGCACATGTACCTGTCCTAATCAATAATTCATTTTCAATGTGAAATGCGATATCAATAATTACAATTCATTAAACTAAATGAACCATAGATGCAGAGATGGGCAAGTCAGGGTTTTTTCGACTCAAGTCAAGTCAAGTCAAGTTATGACTAGTTCAAAATATTTTCAAGTCAAGTCAATTTGAGTCATAATTCATTCAAAAAATCATCAGGTGAAGCCATTTTTTGACTTGACTTGCCCATCTTTGATTTATTATTTGTATTTTTCTTCTACATTTCAAATTAGAGTTCCAAAATTCAATTAATAAAAGTTCTCTATACATATAATTTTTGACTTGACTTGAATTTCTCTATACGACTTGTTGCAAGTCAAGTCAAGTCATTCTGAAAATTTTCAAGTCATGTCATGACCCATCACTGACTTGAATCAAGTCAAGTCAAGTCAAGTCATGATCATTTTCAAGTCAAGTCAAGTCAAGACATGAGTGTTTACTAGTCAAG